GCCAAACGTCAATTAATAAACAATAAAATAAGCAAAATAAAACCTATTTTCAATAGTAGTCATCTTCAGGCAGTGAATAGCCGATATTTGAAGCGAATTATGGAGTGTTATTATTTATTATTTTCATCGTAGAGCACTCCAAGTGCTTCAACCCGGCCTTCTGCGCTCGTTTTTCACACTTTTACCCAATATGCAAAAGCAACGGTGTCAGCAGGTGCAGTTTAATGTGCAATAATCATTCCTAGCCATATGGACACACTGTCAAACGCTTGTTTAATTTCTGATGACTCTAAAGCCCCGTAGTCTCTTTATTACCAATCTCAGGAACAATAAAACCGCAACAGCTCTTCAACAAGTGAGTGATTTTGAGCCCCTGTTGCGCTTGTAGCTGTAAAGTGGTGCAGAAGCCCCCACTCTCAAGAGCATGATGCAACTGTGATGAAATAGAGAAACCGGCTCGGGCTCTCTGCATTAGGATATTACCATGAGATACTCAAACATCCAGCGAACAGAGAGTTTAGTCCTCTCGCTCAAGGCTCGACCGCATGAGGTCCGCTTGACCGGGAGAAATTTCATCCAGGCCAACAGTGAAGACTGATGTAACATCAGCTGGAAAACGGTAACTCCGATTGGCAGTCTGTTTTTATGGGAGGATGTTTTCTTTTGGTACACCTTTGGATTAGTTTATGCTTCATCTTTGTCGGTGTGTTTGTGAAGATTGTTAGGGGATACTTTGGAAAGCGGTAAGTCTGATTTAAGCACACACAAACACAAGATTTTATTCATTGAGTTGGATTTAGAGTTCTGTTTTTATTGAAGAGCTTTAGCCTTCTTTAAGTTAATATTTAAAAGTTTAGCTTACCTGTTGGAGATTATATCATTGCATGATTTTAGCATGTATTGAGTGGGAAAATATGCTTACAGGAGACTGTATACAGGTGAATTCAAGGTATTTGGACTCAAGTATGACTGTATGATGTTTGATTTTTGCATGTATTTAGTTGTTGTCTTTGGAGCTTTTTTTAAATAGGAATTCAGGTAAAGCGGGCCACCTTTTTACATTGAAATGACTACAAAAAAGGGTCCACTTTACCTGAATTGGTATTTTTTTCTTAAGATAACAACTTAATACATGCAAAAATCAAACATTATAAACAATTAAAATGTTTTTTAAATGTCTTTATAAAATATGAATAGGATTCCAGGTAAAGTGGGCCACCTTTTTACATTGAAATGACTACAAAAAAGGGGTCCACTTTACCTGATTTTTTTTTTATTAACAACTTAATGCATGCAAAAATCAAACATTACAAACAATTAAAATGTTTTTAAAATGTCTTTATAAAATATTAATAGTAATTCAGGTAAAGTGGGCCACCTTTTACATTGAAATTGCTACAAAAAAAGTTGTCCGCTTTACCTGAATTCCTTTTTTTTTTTTTTTTTTTTTAAGATAACTTAATACATGCAAAAATCAAATATAACAAACAATTAAAGTGTTTTAAAAATCTCTATAAAATATTAATATGAATTCAGGTAAAGTGGGCCACCTTTTTACATTGAAATGACTACAAAAAAAGTGGTCCACTTTACCTGAATTCCTAATATTTCTTAAGATAAAAACTTAATACATGCAAAAATCAAACATCACAAACAATTAAAATGTTTTAAAAATGTCTTTATAAAATATGAATAGGAATTCAGGTAAAGTGGGCCGAAATGACTAAAAAAGTACCAAATTCCTATTTAAAAGAAAACTCTTAAGACAACAGCTTAATATATGCAAAAATCTAAGACCAGTGATATTTGTGACCAATTACCAGATACCTAGAATTCACCTGTAAGCATATTTTCCATCGCTTCGCTAGTAAACACGAATTAGGTCCGTGTGTGTGTGTGTGTTTTGAAATGCTGCCCCTCAACAGTTTGAGGTTTGACACAAAGCGTTCTGTTGCCTGGCTAGTCTGCCGGCGTCTGATTGGTCGTCTCCAGGCTGCTGGAGGTGTAGTAGAGCGTTGATTATGTCACAGCCCTGTTGTAGAGCAATTTGGTCCCTCCTCCCCTTTTCCCCTCCCCCAGCCTACATGAGCGAACGTGTGCCGCATTCTGAGTGGAGAGAAAGAGAGCGAGAGAAAGAGAGAGAGAGAGACAGCCAGCCAGCCAGCAGCAGGTGGAAATGACATCATCTGCACTGCACCAACACTGCAGTAGTGTTTGAACAAAGCTGCACTGGAGCTCCACTCCGAGCTGCTCTTTTTTTTGTCTGCAAGGGTGGATGTTTGTTGGAAAAAAACAGAGGCTGATGCGTTTTTTTTGTGAGCGTTCATTCATTAGATTTGGGTTCGCTTTCATTCATCTGCTTTGAAACTGAATTGGTGTCAGTATGGTACTGTATGTGCGAGGAATTGGTCTTGATTCGTCTTGTTTTGATGCCGTTAATAACAAAATAACACGTTATGAGCTCGAGCGCACACAAAAAAAAATGTCAAGTTTCCAAAAAGCATGTTGTTTTTTTGTCTTTGTTACTGTTGTTTAAGTAGACAAAGGATGTGCAGGATAGAGACTGTCTCACATAGACTGATGTATATGGGTCAGTGAGATTTAACAATGAATGGAAGTGATTTTAAAGAATAAAAATAGAAAAGAAATAGTATATTTTAAATATATATTTTTAATTGTTTCTTTTGTGCATTTAAAAAGTCAAACAATTTTCTTTTTTTTATTCTCATTTACGTTTTTATTTGCATTAAATATCACCATAATTTATCTAATTCAACATTTGTTTTTGTTCATTCATTCATTTATTCATTCATTCATTCATTCTCCTCCTCCTGTATACTGTATATACTCCCATCAACTAGGCGTACAATAATAATGTAACAATGCCTACGGATCAGCACACATATCCAGAAAACACATTCAAATTTATTCTCCTCCCACTTAATCCCTTACTTATCACAGTGGAATGAACCGCCAACTATTAAAGGAAATGTTTTACACAGCGTACGCCCTTTCGACTGCAACCCAGTACTGGGAAACACCCATACACTCTTATTCACACACACTCATACACTATTCAGTTCATCCAATTTACTTAAACAGCATGTCTTTGGACTGTGGGAGGAACCGGAGCACCCGGAGGAAACCCTCGCCAACACGGGGAGAACATGCAAACTCCACACAGAAATGCCAACATTTGTTTTCATAGTTGTATAATTTATATTTTGTGCATTTAAAAGTAATTCTATTGGCCTTTTTTCCTTATGTTTTTATTTCATCAATATCATCAACATCATTTTTCTTATTCAACATATTGTATTTGTCATAGTTCTATAAATTAGATTGCGTTTATAATGTATTTTTGAGAAAGTAAAAAATATATATTTTGAATATATTCAGTTTAATTTGTTCATTTGTATTTCTGTAGCGCTTTTACTATGGTGATTGTGTGTAGAATGTTGCAGGAATTCTAGAATTTATAGTATATTCAAATTAAATCCCCATTACATTTCAAGTCTGTACTGTGCATTTTTAAATATGATGTACAAAGAGTAAACAACAAATGTAAATATTTTTGTTATTCATGCCAGTGATATTCCACCTCTTTGAAAAACCTACTAGGGTTAAAACATTTCAATTGCAAGCTCTTCGAGATGTCTGCTGACAAACTGATTTCGGAAAAAAATAGCTTTTTCTTTGAAGTAGGGGAAGATTCATAGAACATATATATAACAACTATAACAGGCGTACAATAGCAATGCAAAAATGCCTACAGAACAGCAAACATATCTAGAAAACGTTCAAATTTCCTTCGGCTTAGACCCTTTCTCAGGGGTCACCACACTGGAATGAACCGCCAACTTATCCAGCAAATGTTTTACATAGCGGATGCCCTTCCGGCTGCAACCCAGTACTGGGAAACATCCATACACACTCATTCACACACATATACTACGGTCAGTTATAGCGCATGTCTTTGGACTGTGGGGGAAACTAGTGCACCCTCGCCACCACAGGGAGAACATGCAAACTCCACACAGAAATGCTAACTGACCAGCTGGGACTCGAACCAGCAACCTTCTTGCTTTTAGGCAACACTGGGCCACTGTGTCGCCCCACATATTCAAATCACATAACTAAAAAAATGTATGAAAATTAATAAAAAATAAATCGATAGATAATAAAAATAAAAATGAATTAATATATTAAACATTAAATAATGATAAAATAAAAAAAACAATAATAATACAATAAAAAATACATTTACAAACACACAATTTAGATGATTCATATATGGTTCTCAAAGATGATCAAAGTCCTTCTGCTAGCCACAAATGATATACAGCTGAAGTCAAAATTATTATTTTTTCTACTTCAAATATTTCCCAAATGATGTTTAACAGAGCAAGACATTTTTCCATAGTATTTCCAATGTTATTTTTTTTCTGTAGAAAGTCTTATTTGTTTTATTTAGGCTAGAATTAAAGCAGTTTTTATTAAAAAAAAAAAAAGAAGAAGAAGAAGAAAGAAAGAAAGAAAGAAAGAAAGAAAGAAAGAAAGAAAGAAAGAAAGAAAGAAAAAAAATTTAACGTCAAAATAATAGTTCTTCAAGGTTTTTTTTCTGATTGACTGATAAAACAAACCACTGAAATACAAAAGACTTAACTAATTAACATAACTTGTCTAGTTAAGCCTTTAAATGTCACTTTAAGCTGAATACTAGTGTTTTGAAAAATTATAAAGGAGTTATTGAAACTATTATGTTTAGAAATGTGTTGAAAAAATTCCTCTTTTCATTAAATAAAAATTGGGGAAAAAAGTACAGGGGGGCTAATAATTCTGTAAGATAGTCTCTCCTGTCCTTGGAATCTGTATATATATATATATATATATATATATATATAAAGTTCATTTCGATGTGTTGATATTAAAGTGCTAATGTGTTTAAAATCTGTTGCATTATTAATTTGATGTCTAAATTCTTCTTGTGTTTTATGCAGATAACCAGTTCAGAATGTCCATCCTGGAACGCCTAGAGCAGATGGAGCGAAGGATGGCAGAGATGGCCGGTCAGCAGCAGCAACAAGGTGGAGGAGGAACATCCGAAAGTGGTGGAACCACAACCGGAGAAGGAGGAAGAAGCAACTCTGAACAGGCACAGGTATCAAATCTTCACTCAGGATTCCTGCAGGTCATAGAAGTTTTGAAATATCATTTAAAAAGGTCTATGGCTCCTATAATGTTATTGGAAATACTAAGGGAAATCACTAGGGAAATATTTAAAAGGAAAAAAAGTCACTGGGGGGCTAATAATTTTGACATCAGCTGTAGGTCATGAAAATTCAGCATTGTGGTTAGTTAAAGTCAAAGAATTCCCACTCAGGTTCCCACTCTTTCATAAATTACTGGACATTACCGTTACATTACATACTGCTTATAAAAATTGACTTGGTTTTTGATTCTGTGTTTTAGTTCTCACCAATTCAGGGTCAGAGCCAGGGACAAGCTCCGGCTGGGAGCTCATTCGAAAGCCGTGTGGTGGTCGTTTGTGAAAAGATGATGAACCGAGCCTGCTGGGCCAAATCCAAACACCTGATCCACTCCAAGACGTTCCGGGGCATGACTCTTCTTCATCTGGCAGCTGCCCAGGGCTACACCACGCTTATCCAAACACTTATCAAGTGGCGGTGAGTAAACTGATTGCATACTGGCACTAAATGCCCATATTTATTGCATATCCATCACTCTGGCCCTGTATTATTCTTTACGCTGCTTGTTTTACAGCACCAAGCATGCAGACAGCATTGACCTGGAACTTGAAGTTGACCCTCTAAATGTGGATCATTTCTCTTGCACACCACTGGTGAGTGTTGACAACTTTATGTCACAAAAACCGAGTTTGGATGTGTTGTTTTAATATAGAATGTAACTCTTCTATTCAGATGTGGGCTTGTGCTTTGGGTCATATGGAGGCTGCAGTGGTTCTCTATAAGTGGGATCGGCGGGCTTTGGCTATCCCAGATTCTTTGGGTCGCTTACCACTGGCTATCGCTCGCTCCCGTGGCCACACCAAGCTGGCAGAGTGTCTGGAAAGCCTTCAAAGGGAGGAGCAGCAGTCAGGAGCACTGACTACAACTCCCAGCATGCCTTTCTCACCGTCTACCGAGGCCTCAGCTGCAGAGGGATGGATGAATGTTTGGGGTGCAGAGGCTACTTCTGTAGGACTGAAAGAAAGCAACATCGCTAGTTCTGCTTCCAGCTCAAGCTCAGGTTAGTTCAGGTTAATTCTTCTTAGACTGTCGCTACTTCAAAAAAGTTGTACATGTCTTGTCACACCTGACAAGAAGCGTGTACTGACAACTCGAAGCTTTACATACCATCAAATTCCATTAAAAATGTTGTCAATCAACAAAAATTTGCAACATTTGCTTGATTTTGGGTTCAATTAAATGATAAATGCTGTGAAATTTTGAAATCCTGGAGTGTCTGACTTACATAAGGTTAAGAATAACTTGTTATATAAGACCTTTCATGTACAAAATAGGTTTTGACAAATTTAATCAACCCCTCTTCCTCTAAGGCAATTTCCTTATACCTTTGCAGATTTAAGGAGACCCAGGTCGGAGCCATCCAGTTTCTATAGCAGCGTTAATCACGGGGACGCTCCGTTAAGCAAGAAACACAAACCCAACCCCGAAACCCTGCAAACTCGTCCCAGCAAATCCTGCTCTGCCCCCCTTGGACTAGAAGAACATTCCCACAAGCCTAAAACATGCCCTTCCAAGCCGAGGGATTCTGCTGTGGAGAAAGAGCAAGGAGATGGTGAACAGTCTCAGAATAAAGTGGGCTCAACCTGTGGAGGTGGGCGCTGGGGTTCCAGACAGGCTGCAGGACGGAGAGTATCAACTACAGGACTTGGCAAGGAAAGACTCGCGAATAGACTGAGATTAAGAGAAATTGCTAGTGCGGGAACAATCTCTGATCTGAGGACAAGCCAGGAGGATCTGGAGAACACAGGAGACCTGCAGGTGAGCCGTAGGGTCTCAAACACTGTCAAAATGGTTTCTTTTGTTGCGTTATAGCAGGGGTGCCATATCCCCGATACCAGAGATTGAGATACCAGACAGAAGTCAATGTAAGTTGCAAGGTCTGTCAGACTTTATTCTAATCCTATAGCACAGGGGTGTCCAATCCTGTTCCTGGAGATCTACCTTCCTGCAGAGTTCAGCTGGAACCTTGATCAAATACACCTGTCTTAAATTACCAAGTGCGCCTTTAGGTCCTACTTAGTTGCTTTAGTTGTGTTTTATCAGGGTTGGAGCTGTGCTATAGGATTGAAATAAAGTCTGACAGATCTTGAACACTTGCATTGACTTCTGTCTGGTATCTCGATTGCATTATTGTTAGAAATCTTTTATACCATGTACTGTAAGCCGCTTTTTGGAATTACTTAACATCTCAAGTTTCTAGTGCAGGTTTGAAAGTTCCCAACTCTTTGTTTCAGAATATGAACATGATGACTTTGGCTGAGGAAGTTATCGAGGCGACATCCGATCGCATCAAGAGGGAAAACTTTGTTGCGTCAGACACTTCTCTAGACGGTGTTGGAGTCAGCAGTACCATGAGTTGGTTGGCCAGTTACCTTGGAGATGCAGAGAGGTGATTCATCATAAATGCAATCTCATAAATCTGTGCTCCACAAATATAGTTGCAAACTCTTTTGGTCCTTGTTTGTAATTTTCCCTCAATTGTTCCCAGGTTCCTGTTTAACAAGCCTCTAACTTCCTCTCCTGGCCTGGGAACGGTCCACGGTGGAGCACAGCCAGAACTTGACGGCCCTCTTGGGAAACTTGGCATTCAGTCCCCTGCTGAATGGACTGCGCTCCTTAATGCCTCCCACAACAAGGAGGAGCGTGACTTGACCCAGCTGGCCCTGTCGGATCCTGAACAGAGGGAACTTTATGAGGCAGCTCGCCAGGTCCAGAACACTTTCCGCAAGTACAAGGTAGGGCAGGGCTTCACCCAGGTGCCAGAGTCACCCATGCTGGTTATTGGTGGTGTGTTGCCAGTGTTTGTGATGGTCCAGTTTCAAAGGTCTAGATGTACTGTGTTGTGTTGTATGGTGTTCCTGAAGTTAAGGTAAATGATTCATCCGGATCTTTGCAGTCCTGTGTCGTGAAAGGTGATATGATTGTTGTGGTGTGCGCTCTAAAGGCAGAGATAGGGTCAGTGTTGTTGACAAGCATGGGGATATTTGCTTGAGCTTAGCATGGCCTTGCTGTAAGGAATGATTGCATTGTTCCCTCTATCTGTCTGTCTAAATGGGATGCACAGATATCCCTGAGTCCACACCACATTTGGTTGTTCAGAGCAGATTTCTCCCTGTGTTCTGCTGGCGCGCCGTGCTCTGACAAATAACCTTCTCCCAGGTCTCAGAGCATATCGACGCAACTTTGCCAGTCTAAGAGGATACCTTGTCCAGGCACTAAAGGAATCAGATGCCATCATCGCTGTGGCCTATCAGGCCTCCCTGTGAACACTAATCTCTCTCCTGTCCTCTCCACCCTACCTTATCCCCCTCTTCCCCCGTCCTGCAGGGTCGGCCACTTCGGGAGCAGCAGGAACTGGCAGCTGCTGTCATTCAGCGCTGTTATAAGAGGTACAAACAGGTGAGTTCAGACACTCAGAAACATCTGCGTGTTGTACACTTCTGAGTGGTCAATTATTAAAGGCTTTACAAGAATGCACTCAATACTTCCCTCTCTCTATCCCTCAAGCTGACATGGATAGCCTTGAAGGTAACTCTTCCTGTTTCATCTATAACATCTTCTGCTTTGAATTGGAAGATTGTTATTTGCTTATTAATAATACTAAATATAAAACTTGTACGTGGACAAAAATGAATACTAGCTTAAACTGTACATCTTCGTAAGAACAGATTAGCTATTTAGCAGCCTCACATATGAACCAATAAAAAAGCAGAAAATAATCCCTAGACTTGCACAGGGATTCAAACTACATCTATAACAATATAGTTCACACAAATATGACAATTTACTCACCCTTAAGTAGTTCCAATGCTTTATGGGTTTCTTTATTCAACTGAACACTAAAGAAGATTGAAAAAAAAGCTGGAAACTGGTTATCGGCTTCCATTTAAGAAAAACCAATACTAAAGAATTCATTGGTTAAAGGTTGCCAGCTTTCTAGCTTTGTGATCAACAGAAAAAAAGAAGTTAAACAGGTTTGGAACAAGTAAAGAGTGAGTAAATGATAACATTATTTTCATTTTTGGGTGCACTATCCCTTTAAGCTTCTGAACTGTGCTACTAAGCTGTGGCCTAGCATCCACTTAGCACTATGCCAAGAACACTCGTAAAAAACTAATGTTGACAAATGTTTTGCATTAGCCAAGTGGCTAATGGAGTAGTTTGCTACAGATCTCAAATGTATTTTTCTGTCCCTTTTGGCAGTATGCACTTTATAAGAAGATGACGCTGGCCGCCATCCTTATCCAGAGTAAATTCCGCAGCTACCACGAACAGAAGAAGTTCCAGCAAAGTCGCAAGGCAGCCGTGCTGATCCAGCAATATTACCGCAGCTACAAAGAGCTTGGCCGACCGAACCCACGCAGCCGAGCCACTGCAGCTGCACTGGTGCAGCACAAACTCAGGTACACAGCATTTAGGACAAAGCTAATCTAGTGGGATAAATATCAATTGCCTTTGTTATAACAAATCAGAATTTATAAAAGGAAATTAGTATATGGAAATTGGTATGGCTCCAGCACTTTGGCGGCTCCATTGGTAAAATTATTAATGAAATAATGGGGGGAATTATGCATTTAAGAGTTATTTACAGTAAATAATAATAGGGTTCTCATTAAAATAATAGATCAAGTGTTAAAAACAATTTTCATGTTCCTTCCTTCGGCGTAGTCCCTTTATTCATCAGGGGTTGCGACAGAGGAATGAACCGCCAACTTATCCAGCTTATGTTTTACACAGGCGAGGTAGTGGCGCAGTAAGTAGTGTTGTCGCCTCACAGCAAGAAGGTCGCATGGTCGCTGGTTCGAACCTAGGCTCAGTTGGCGTTTCTGTGTGGAGTTTGCATGTTCTCCCTGGCTTCGCGTGGGGTTTCCTCCGGGTCCTCAGGATTCCCCCACAGTCCAAAGACATGCAGTACAGGTGAATTGGGTAGGCTAAATTGTCTGTTGTGTATGAATGTGTGTGTGGATGTTTCCCAGAGATGTGTTGCGGCTGGAAGGGCATCCGCTGCGTAAAATCTTGCTGGATAATTTGGCGGTTCGTTCCGCTGTGGTGACCCCGGATTAATAAAGGGACTAAGCCGACAAGAAAATGAATGAAGAATGTTTTACATAGTGGATGCCCCTCCAGCTGCAACCCAGTACTGGGAAACATCCATACACACTCATTCACACACATACACTACGACCAATTTAGTTTATTCAATTCACCTGTATCGCATGTCTTTGGACTGTGTGGGAAACCGGAGCACCCGGAAGATACCCACGTGATTACGGGGAGAACATGCACACAGAAATGCCAAGTGATCTAGTCGCGACTCGAACCAGCAACCTTCTTGTTGTGAGCCCCATGCGCTGCAGTGGAGTGTTTAGAACTGCTGGATTTACAACACATAAATTCATCAACGTCTCTCAAAATAACAGAGTGAACATCCTACTTACCTAAATAGTGTTTATCTGTGCATGGGTACCACTTGGTGGGGGGAAGGTAGGACGATTCTATGGGTCCACACCATTTTGGGGACCCAATAATAACTATTAGCGGGCCCAATAAACCTCCCTTCACAAACCCCCACACCCCCTTTCTTCACTTTTGTCCACACCACCCCCGCTTTTCACTTTCGTACGCAACTGTGACAAAAACCCTCCTGTCTTCACTTTAGTCTGTGACAACCACCTCCGCTACAACAACCCCCCCTCCCTTGTCACTTTAGTCTGCGACAACCACCTCCATCCACGACACCCCTAAACCTCCACCCCCAGCTCTGCACTATCGTCCGCCCCCCACGTTCTATAAGATTGTTGTCATTGGGCCTTTACCAACCAACGACGCCCCTGTATCTATGTATCTGTAACCCCACCGGTCCTACGCCACCCAACCCGCTCCGAGCTAGTTTCGAACCGCCAACCTTCCGCATGGGAGTCGGTTGCTCTAACAAGGAGGCTAAAGACCATGGCCTCTAGCGTCTGTCGCTAGAGCACCTTTAGAGGTCAGAGGAGTGAGGTTTACCTGCACAGCACACACTTGCTGGCTTCCGTTACACTCACCCCCCTAAACCTCACTCCCATCCGGGTCACGGCACCAATGTAACCCCGCCGGTCCTACGCCACCCAACCCGCTCCGAGCTGCTTTCGAACCGGCAACCTTCCGCATGGGAGTCGGTTGCTCTAACAAGGAGGCTAAAGACCATGGCCTCTAGCGTCTGTCGCTAGAGCACCTTTAGAGGTCAGAGGAGTGAGGTTTACCTGCACAGCACACACTAGCTGGCTTCCGTTACATATCAACAACACACATTGTCAGATTATGTGTAATGAATATCCTTGCCGTCTTCCATAAACATCAGTGTGTGTACTTTCCAAACCGCAAATGTTTTGTTTTATTAGTAAATATCTGTATTTAAATGTCTGCAAGCTAAAACAAAAGTTATTTAATTAAAAACGGATGAGTTTTGATCCTTGACAAGCTGTGTGCTCCCCAATGTGCATAGTTTTCTGTGTAATTTAGTATTAAATGTATTGTGACTTAAAATGTTAGCGTACTAATAAGGTACTCTAAATTAATTGTCAGCTAAACAAAATATCTTTCAGAATTTCACCACCACACATACTTTTACTAAGCCACCTTATGTGTTCAATCTCCACAAGGTTATGCATATTTCACCCTAAGTTGCTACAGAGACCTTGGTGTTTTCATCCTCTAAAGTGTGCTATCGCTTTGGATGAATTACTAAGTACACACCAACACTTCAAATGTGACACTCTGCCAAGTCCACTTTCTGAAGAATGGCAGCATTCAAACCCTCCTGTTTGCTTTAAGAGACAATCTGTCATTGAAACAGTGCCAGTTGGACCCCAGGAAATGATTTACTTCACTAACAGTTTGAGTCTAAGTATATCACTTAGAAGCATCATTATTTTTCATTGCCATTTGTTGTCACACAACCTGTTGCAGCTATAGCAGTTTGATCCCTAATTGTTTGTATGCTTTCCTTCCCCTCAATACTGGAGATGTTGGTTTGAATCCAGCATGTAGTGACGGGATTAGAACCATGGGGCTTATATTGGTGCCGTGACCCGGATAGATGAGAGGTTTAGAAATTATAAAAATAAAACGTAGGCTAGCTATTAAGTGAAGTTTATTCATAAACTAATTACAAGAGGATCACCTGCTTATGATAGCTTGCGCATTATCCAATTTATAATTCACCAATCAGACAATTCCTAAGCCACTATAAATACCCTAAGTTCCATATAACAGCCTTCTTCATTTTGAAGAATCCCCTTTCCACCCCTACTCCTCTTCCTTTCCTAGATGGGTGGCATGGTGGCTCAGTGATTAGCACTGTTGCCTTACAGAAAGAATATCACTGGTTCTAGTTCTTAATAAGCCGGCCAACATTTCTGTTTTCAGTTTACATGTTCTCCCCGTGCTCACATGGGTTTCCTCTGGGTCCCCCAGTTTCCTCCCACCGTCCAAAAACATGCAACTAAAGTTAATTGACTAATCCAAATCGGCACCATAGACATGCTCCTAGTAAGTACTTATCTCTTAAAAGCAATCACTATCTGTTCATTAACTACTACAGCAAGGGAGTTCTGGAGATCTATCTCAGCTCAAACTCCCCTCACGCCCTGCAAACGGGAGGGAGCCCCGGGCTCGAGGATCTTATGAGCTCAGGGCTCTCTGGCGGGACAGCATGCCAAACAAGCTTTATAATCAATCATCAGCTAAGTGTGTACTCTTAAAGAGTTAAGCAAATAAACTTAACTCCCCTGGACGCAAGGTTGGGTGACTTTCTAGTTAAATCAAATAACTTTTCTGCAAAAAAAAAAAAAGTTAATTAAGGAATTAATTTTCATTTGAGGTAATTTAATTAGTTACTTAAAACATACCTGGGATTTATATAAATTACTTGTACATAAATGTCTTGTACATGAATTCCGTAGTTCTATACAACAGGGGTTCCCAAAGGAACAGGGCGACCCGTATATACTGAACATAAAATATATAAACCTTGCACATAAACCAATAGCCCCAAGTCTATTCATCATTTAATTTTGAAGAATTTGTGTTTTAATAATTACCTGCCTGCCTGTAATTATTACGTGGTGTTCAGGTCTTAATTAATTGGTTCAGGTGTGTTTGATATGGGTAGCATCTGAAATCTGCAGGAAGGTGGCTCTCCAGGAACAGGGTTGGCCACCCCTGATCTAGATCAAAAGAAATCTAATTATTCATTTTTTTGTGTTATTAATTTTAAAATGTTTTGGGTTGATATATGTTTAACATTGTTAAGCGTTATTAAAGGGTTAAAGGGTTTTGTATTGTCTGTGCAGAGATTTATATATGGATTTTAAGTGCTGTGTCTATTAATTAGATTTTGATGAATTTGTGGACTTGTAATGAGTAAGTTATTCAGTTTTCATTATTGATTACTTTTAGACAAAGCAATTAGAAAGTAATTTAAATATAATTTAAATAATTTATTTATTCATTTTCTTGTCGACTTAATCCCTATATTAATCTGGGGTCGCCACAGCGTAATGAACCGCCAACTTTTCCAGCACGTTTTTACGCAGCCTTCCAGCCTCAACCCAACTCTGGGAAACATCCACACAGACTCATTTACACTCATACACTACGGACAATTTAGCCTACCCAATTCACCTGTACCGCATGTCTTTGGACTGTGGGGGAAACCGGAGAACCCGGAGGAAACCCACGCAAAAAAAAGCAAAATGACCTAGCCGAGGCCCGAACCAGCGACCTTCTTGCTGTGAGGCGACAGGTACTACCTACTGTGCCACTGCGTCGCCCTAATTTTAATAATGTAATTAGTTATTTAATTTATTTTTTGAACTAACATACAGCACTGCCTGTACACCAGCACGCACACACAATTACTCATTGGATGAACTCAATTTAATTGAGGGCAGGATTTCCATTCAATCAATTTTGTTTAGCACCTAAAAATATTTTTATTTACACAATTAAATGCAATTGAGTTGATGCAACATGATTTTATCCAACAAATGTTTAAATACATTTGTATTTGTATTTAACTTAAAGTCAAAGGACCGATAATATCAAGTGTCTATTATGTGTTGTACATTTCGGAGTCTCTTAGTTTTATTTGAAGTATTCCTAAATGAACTAAAAGAGCCGTTTTAAGCATATTTAAAATTTACATATACAGTTGATTGAGACTGATCTCAGAACTCATTTTAGGACAGTTATTGCTCACTGAGCAAAGCAACAACTGCAGTTTTACTAATTAAACTGCAACACCCAAAGTATGGGTGCTTCTGCAAGGTGGTAACCTCAAAAACGCAAAGCATTACATGCAAATCTTCTAAATCTTTCAACTAAAGTGAAGATTAAACTCGTAAACTCGAACCAGTTTTTATATTAACTTTAAACACCTAAGATTACTTTTAATGTCAACATTAATGAAATCAGTCCCACACAAAGCATGCTGAAAACTACGAATCTCCTTACCAGATAGATGGACCAACACAATTCCATTGTCCCAACACAAAACACTTAAATTAACTTAATGGTTTTCAAATTTAAGTGGACTAAACATAAAACAAAGAAATTAACCAAAGAATTTACAAGAATTGTGTTGTTTCAATTGATATTTGATACCGTATTCTGTTTTTGTTCTTATGTTAACTTCTATTCATTGTAAAGCCCAGTTTCAAGAGACCTAAGGGGGGGGGGGGGTTGAATTGATTTAAGCTTGTATGTTTTGTTAACAATTAAAAAAAAAAAAAAGAATTGTGTTGTTTTAGCGCATTTTAAACAGGTAGTTTGAACAAACAGCAGTAATCTTTTTTGAGTGTAGTTAAACTCAAAGGTCTGATAATATCATGTGTCTATTTTGTGTCGCACATTTTTGAAGTCTAAGACTGACCTCAGAACTCATTTTAGGACAGTTATTGCTCACTGAGCAAAGCAACAACTGCAGTTTTACTACTTATACTGCAACACCCAAAGTATGGGTGCTTCTGCAAGGTGGCTATCTCAAAACTCAACGCATTACATGAAACTCTTCTAAATCTTTAAACTAAAGTGAAGATTAAACTCGAACCAGTCTTTATATTAACTTTAAACACCTAAGATTACTTTTAATATCAACATTTATGAATTCAAACCCCCACAAAGCATGCTGAAAACTACGAATCCCCTTACCAGATAGATGGACCAACACAATTCCATTGTCCCAACACAAAACACTTAAATTAACTTATGGTTTACAAATTTAAGTGGACTAAACATAAAAAAAGAAATTAGCCAAAGAATTTACAAGAATTGTGTTGTTTCAGCGCATTTTAAACAGGTAGTTTGAACAAACAGCAGTAATCTTTTTTGAGTGTAGTTAAAGTCAAAGGTCTGATAATATCATGTGTCTATTTTGTGTCGCACATTTCGAAGTCTCTTAGTTTTATTTGAAGTTTTCCTAAATGAACTAAAAGAGCCACTTTAAGCATATTTAAAAGTTACATATACAATTGATTGAGACTCATTTTAGGACAGTTATTGCTCACTGAGCAAAGCAACAACTGCAGTTTTACTAATTAAACTGCAACACCCAAAGTATGGGTGCTTTTGCAAGGTGGTTATCTCAAAACTTAAAGCATTACATGAAACTCTTCTAAATCTTTAAACTAAAGTGAAGATTAACCTTTCGGCAGTCTTTATATTAACTTTAAACATCTAACATTACTTTTATTGTCAACGTTTCCCTTTCTTAATTCAATACCACACAAAGCATGCTGAGAACGACGAATCTCCTAACCAGGTTGTTGGACCAACACAATTCCTTTATGTTGTTCGCTTAAGTTAACTTAATGTTCACAAATTTAAGTGGACTGAACATAAAACAAAAAATAATTAACCAAAGAAATTTCCAGAATTGTGTTGTTTCTGCTCATTTTAAACAGCTAGCTTGAACAGGCAGCAATGCATGCTTACCGTTTATCGTCCAGAAATATCAGAATTTACTTACTTGTGCGCATTAACTCATGCGTAACCACTCATGCTGTTTGTTTTGTTCTAGAAGCAGTTTACTGACCAAGCGACAAGACCAGGCTGCCAGAAAAATCATGCGCTTTCTGCTGCGGTGCCGTCACAGGTATGTCAAAGCCAAAAACTTCCACAAGGCCCAGGTGATCCCAAGGCCCTGATGTTCTTCTAGCATGCACACGCTTAACTATGGCATACTTTAACATTTTAGAAGAATTATTTGTAACATTCTCCAGTAAAAAAAGGTTATTGGCACGTTTCCAAATCTCTCAATTACACCAACATGAACATCAAGAGTCGGCACCGGACAAACCTTGGTGTTTTCATGGCTCTGCTAGAAAGCCCTATTGTGTTTGGTCCCATTTCCCCAACCCAACCGAAACCTCAGTGTGTACTAATAGCTGTCTGGTGTTGTTTTGCTGTTTATGCAAAGCCCCTTGATGGACCATAGACTATTCAAACGGGTGAGTGCAGCCTCAGTAAATCAGCTCGTTCCCCTCGATTTCCCCTCTTTTATCTCCCTGTCTCTCCCTTTTTTTCTTTCATCTTGTTCCTTGATTTCAGACTCTGCTGTTCCCTATGACTTTATTCTGTCCTTTCTTTCCCTCCTTCCTTTTATCTTATTTCCTCTATTGCTTTATGCCTGCATGCATGACGGAGCCCGAGTTTGACTGAGCCTTATATGAGAGAGAGAGGACTATAGATCCAACTAACCTGCAAATACAGATGATGCATTAATGGCAAAACTAACAAAGCACTCTCTCTCTCTCTCTCTTTCTTTCTCTCTTTCTCAATACCTCTATCTTCCCAAAAGTCTCTTCCATCTCTCTTGTTATGAGGATGCTTATGACAACACTAAGGACTGCTGGGTAGTGCATTTGGCAATTGCATGATGGCTAAAGATATGGAGGCCTTGCTTTTATCAGGGCATGCTTGAAACAACATCTACCTTTCTCCATGGAAGAGAAATGTCTTGAATGCCTGGCTGCCTGTTTTATACATCTCTTTCAGCTTTTATATAAGCTTGATTTGGGGGCTGAGGGCGGGACGGAGGGGTCAAACTGTGAGCCGACAACATGTTTGGTGGGGTGGAAGGGGTCGTATGTTGGGTATTCAGTATGTGTAGAAGTATAACATGTTGACTAATATAAACATTTAGGAAATTGTTGTGATGTACTGCGCATGAATTGTAGGGTTATGAATTGTTTTAACATTAGATTAAGATTGATGCTTCACTTTTGGACTTTATTCATATTTTATATTGACATGTGTTTGCTTTGACTCCTAGATGTAGAATGTAGAATTCAAAGAAAATTATTTCTCCCACAGATTTTATAAAAGGAGTATGCGAAGATTGAAATCACGCTTTTAAAATGTGTGAATGCCATTGGATAAGATGCGAAATGTCAAACCAAATATCATCTGTGCTCAAATGTTGGGCTAACCACATTCCTGAACAATTGTTGCTTTGATTTAAGCAACTACACTTTGTGAAATAAGGTTTTGACAATCAGAAATATTCCAAATCATCATATTTAAACTGTACATTACTACCGAAACATTCAGTTCTGCTCGAAAAGTGTGCATATGCTATGTTTCTTTAGAACAAAAGACATTTGCTTTGATATTTTATTTAATACTTGTGACATTCAGACATTTTTAAGTGTGATTTTAGTATCCACACTCCAAAAAATGCTTTTCTAAGAGTTGTTGTCTTGTTTCTAGTCCAAAATAGAGATGCTAAGGTCAGGAGTTTTGCAGCTGATACCGAGTATCTGTTCCATGTCATTGTGATCAGCCGATACCACGTACCGATTCTGATGCTTCAACCTTTTCATATTACTTACACATGCTTATAACCCAAATATATGTGAAAGACGCTTAACAGGTTTTATTTTAGAGATCATGCATGAGGTTTAGCTGTGCTGATTTTATTTTCTTTCTGTTTCAGGCTCAAACGGATACGGCTAACAGCTACTCTGACTGAGAGTATTTACACAGCTGAGGCAAAGGACATACAAGTGGAGGCATGATGCTTCCTGGGGACGTGGAGCCGATCCGCGAATCACATCACATTATGTTAGCTGACCAATAAGAGCCTCTTGAGGGCAGCCTTTCAGAGGAATTAGGAAATAAGAGTCGTTTTCATGTTAGCTGAGTAGCTGTATATAATAACAGTAAGATATATACAAAAACATGATTATTTTACAAGTGAAGCATGAGCACGCAATGCTTTGCATCTTATAAACACAACCAAGCCGTAAAAATACACCATGGACTATGGAGTCAGAAAAGACTCAAAAGTAATTCACGCAAAAGACACGATGTAAACATGCGTAGCCAAATTCAAGTGGATAAAATCAAATTCACGTGCGTAAAATATTTATTTATATTCACAAAAAAATTTCACGTGCACAAAATAAAAATACATTTTCATAAAATACGTTTCACAAATGCAAAACACCATTTGCAAAATGTATAAGAGTGTACAAAAAGTTTTGAATGTTTAAAACTTGCGAGTTCATCCTTAATGAGAATGTGCAAATCCTCTTTCACGTACGACTCCCCCTGGATACGTGTGTGTGTATTTTTGAGACTTTCCTGCCAGAAGCAGGGCAGCTCGTACCTTTCAGCCAATCAGATAAAAGCTGTAGTCGATGACACCCACTCTGCGCTCCATTTGCACAGACTCTTTCTCTCCAGCATGGCGAATGGAGAAAGCAGCAGTCACAGTCACACTTTTTTTTTCCATTTATTTATTTATTTGACCATAGCCTCACTCTTTTTATCCATTATTTTGCCGCAGCTCCGCTCTTCTTATTTATTGTCTCAGAGCCCCATGAGCAAAATGTAGCCTGCAGGGTAATGATGAGGATTAACTATAATTTCTTCATTTTTTTTTCATTTTTATTGTTAAGACATATAAAACTGTAAGGTTGTTGAACATTTGAAGTTCTAAAGCAGCTGTTATCTTGAAAAAGACGTGATAGTGTCATTAGAAACTGAATTGGAAATTACCTTATTTTAATATAGTCCGTTGTGAACTGAGGTGGGCCGGTCTATGGCTTGAAACTCCAGGGCTGAAAAGGAGTCTCACTCCGGCCCTGATTATATCTAATGAACGTAAACAGGCTGCTGTTGTGCTTTAGTAATATGTAGAATATAAATATAACATTAATACTTTTCGGCAGATTTTTAACACAAATCGAGCCTCTCGGATCATTTCAAACATGTTTGATGCCATCAGGATTTCAATCTGCCCTCCAACTTACAGCCGCATCACAGAAGAGAAGAGCTGAGAAGAATTTGTTATTATTATTTTTTGTATATATCTTAATGTTATTATATACAGCTACTTAGCTAACATGAAAATGACTCATATTTTCTAATTCCTCTGAAAGGCCTGTCCTCAATAGGCTCTGATTGGTCAGCTAACATAATGTGCTGTGATTCGCGGATCAGCTCCATGTCCCCAGGAAGCATCATGCCTCCACTAGCACTCACTTTGCTTTAGCTGTGCAAATGCTGTCAGTCAGAGTAGCTGTTATCCGTATCAGTTTGAGCCTGAATCAGACAGATAATGAAGCGGACACAGCTAAACATCAGGCCTGCTCTCTAAAATAAAACCTGACAAGTGTCTTTCACATATATTCGGGTTATAAGCATGTGTAAGGGATATGAAACATTCACATATCTTTTGCGAGTTTGTTATTTGAGATATAGAAAGCAAGGAAAGAGGCTGCATAGAGAGACACTGCAGTGCCGGCATTTTAGCTTTCTCTGCTATAACATTTCAATGCCTTTTGTGGCCACACCCCTTCGGGTTTGTGATCTCATTAACCCGGATGTATTTTTTTGTAGTTCCCAAACTTGCTGTAGGCTTTGCTAAGCTAACTCTGTAAAAGCCAATGTCTCCCTTTGCATTGAACTTTGAGCGTCTTACATTCAGAGATGTTGTTTATGTTCACACAGCTCCATACACATCAACTAAAGTTTAAAACATGATATCCTAGTGGACCACCCCTTTAAAACCCCACCATAAGGCTGAATTATACTTCTGTGTCGAGCGATTGCCATACCCCACAGCGCATGCCTTGCCCATAGCCATCCATTTATACTTCTGCGTTCTGTTTGTGTTGCTCTGGAATAACACTTCCGAAACGCTAGCTGGAGTTTTTATGTTCCTCTGTGTCGACTTTCTTCACAAGTGTTTCGTTTACATGGGAAATACCTGTTACATTAATGTATAAGCAGCTAAATCTCGCTTATTCAGAGGTGGGAACCAGCGGACATGCAACAGCTTTGACGTAATAATAACGTAAACACAAAACAGAAGTTTCCATCTGGAGCTCCTCCATGGGACTTGACGCTTGTTTAACTCTCCCGCCACTATTAGGCCTGGTTTATACTTCTGCGTCGAGTGATCAGCTTGACCCACGGCGCATGCTTCTGCGCCATACTTCTGCGCGATAATTCCATTGCTCTGCAATAACACTTCAGAAACACTAGCTGGCAGTAGGTGTTTATGTTTGTCTGTGTCGAGTTTCTTCGCTGGTGTTTTGTTTATTCTGAATGCTACCTTAATGTACAAGTGGTTCAAACTCGCTTATTTTGAGGCAGGAACCGGCGGACGTGCAACAACTTTAATCATAAGGTAAACACAAAACAACAGTTTCTATCTACACACAATCACTTGTAAACACTCGCTCCATCAGGCTCGCCCAGCTCTCACCTCCGCCGACCAATCACAGAGCTTGCGCTACAGTTACAATTTTTGAGAGGTCCCCGTCAGCATCGCCGACAGCCACGGCAAGGGCTATGTGTCCACGTTTAGGCTGCGTTGGAGAAAACTTTTGCGCTTGATGCAGAAGTATAAATCAGCCTTTAGCGCCTCCCATTCTCGTCAACGATAACATGCTGAAAAATCACAGCTCTTGCGCTGTACGTCGTCCAGAAGTGTAGCTACATTTTTTATGAGATGCACATCTTCGTCAGCTAAGTCGAAAGGTATGTAGCTCTGCGGAAGCTGCGCCGGATCATCCGCACGCACTTTGCCACAGATGTTGAAATCAGCCTTTACCAGGACTCAATAAGGAAAACAATGTTTACTTGTGAATGTACCACAAATCACGTTGCACTACTTGTTTTCATCAGTCTTAAATAAATCCTTTAGTCAATATCTTTCACAATATAGTTGTGTCTTATGTAAAAGTACTTGAATAGTCTGTCTTGGGTTATATGTATAGTTTAAGTATGCATGACAATTTTGCCTCTAATAGACATCTAAACGTAGACAGCTTGGCTAAAACAAGGCTAAACTTGGGCTGTTAGTGAAAGTCTAATATATTTAAGAATAAGAATAGCCCAAAACTAGACTAGTCATCAAATATACAGATTAGACAGACTTTGTAGTCATTCATTTCTGTTTATTTGATGACTTGTCTAGTTTTGGCCTATTCTTAGACGTCTATGAGATTTTCCCTGACAGCCCAAGTTTAGCCTTGTTTTAGCCAAGATGACTATGTTTAGACATTTATTAGACATCTATTAAAAACAGAAAATGCTAGCTGGGATCATCGCTTGAAGAATTATTAAACATTTAAACTAGAAACAAGAGAAAAACTCAAAGTAAGAAAAGCATTTGTTGTGTTTCTCAAGGTTTAAAAAGTCTTTGTGGTTTATAGTAAGGGCATATTTGTTGTTCCTTGCTGATTCCAGTGAGGAGAAAGAAATGAAAATAGCAGGTTTATTTGCTAATGATCTGTGATTCATGTGAGGGCCCTGAATGTTTGTGAAATCCTCAAGTTAATTATGTAAAACTCTTGTTTTTGCTCTGTTTTTAGGGCGAAAGAATTGAAAAAGGCCAAGGAACATGAGAACGCCGCAAAGAGCCCCGTCGCAATGTAACATCTCCGAGCAGACCCTTTCTCTTCCACTTCAACTGCGTTTTTACAAGAGACGAACACTTTAGAGGAGGAAAAAAAAGCAAAAATTCTTCAAGAAGCGGAGCGTGTCATCGGACGTGCGGCGGTTGAACTCTAGCAGCGTTGTGACTGATTCTGCATTGTGTATTTTCTCGCTACGGGGGAACTGAAATCAAGACTATTGGGGAAATATGACATTATCTTCATGGCATTTTTGCACTCTTCATAGATTTTTTTTCTTTAGATTATAAGAAAAAAAAGGAAAAAAAAAACGAACGAAGACCAAGGAGCAGAGGCTTTTTATTCTGACGACGCTTGTAAAATATCACGCGACATGAACAGATGGAAATCAGAAAAACGTCATGCTGGAAGCCGCTTCAGATTACATTTTTATATTTTGAAAGGAAAAACACAGCAATCAGTTTGGAACAAAAAAAAAAAAAGAACAAAACCTAATGTAAAATGTAAACCAAAAAAAGGCCTCATTTCAGTGACCATATGCATGCCGAGTATTTGAAATCAGTCTCTCATTCTCCACAAATCTTTGTTTTTGACAAATGCTGTCGGTTCATTCAAAGGGAAGCCTTCATATGAATGTAGATGGGGTCAGGGCAAAAAAAAATGCTGGGTTTGAAATATCAGTGTCTTACCTTTGTCTTTACGGGGGTTATAGGGGACTTCTGACGACATCTTGTGGGATTGAAGCAAAGCCCTCTGGGTTACCTGTTTCGTGTGCACTGTTTTCGACTTTCTTATGGGTCCTTTTCTTAATGTCATTTTTGCTGGCCTGACTTTGTGTGTCCCGTGTTTGTTGAATTGAATCTGGATACAGTGCATGTGTTTGAGCGAAACGCTCCTGCATGCTGACGTAAATGTTTTGTGTTTTATTTTCACTCATTCATTCATATTGGTGATATTGTGGCACCATCAAACTAGCCTAGTCCTATGTTGCCTGTTTGTTTTCTGAGAATATTATTATAAAGACTATTATTTTTGTATAGTTCTGTTATTTATTTTAGTAGTATTACTGGGTTTTGCTTAAGCGTTTTATTTTAATTGTGCGAAGGATCGATGATCCTTTTTGTTTTGAAAACTGACTTTTTTTATGTGAATTGTGCCACAGCGCCAAACGTATATTTGCAAAGGTTATCTTCCATTAATGTGTGCGCGTGCGTGTGTGTGTGCGTGTTGTGATACGTTTCTTCATTGTTACTGTTCGTGATTTCCAACAGCTCCAGAAAGCCACCACAGGCTTTCCCAAGGAGATTCACTGAACATTGCCTTGACTTCTTGACTTTTTGAAGGGTCCCTATACAGAAGCTTCAACAAAAAAAAACAACAAAAAAATCCATATTTTTGACTATTGAGTGGTCCCTGTATATATATCGAAGATGGGTGAAGGAGCATTGATAGCCAGAAACTTTTTCCGAAGAGGATTGTATTTAAGAATATATAGTATTTTATTCATAAATTGGATTATAACACATTAAGAGACGAACAAAAAAATATATTGTATAGTTTTCTTTGAGCGCCCAAGATGTACGGTTGTATTGTTTGTAAATACTGTAAATATCGGTTGCGAAGAAGGAGCCATGTGCATGAAACTTTAAGACATTGAACATAATGTAAAGATAAAAATGTAGTGGCAACGGTCTGTAATACGAGTCGAACAACTTTACTATAAGACTTTGTTGGAAATGTTCTTACGCAGAGCGTTCTCTAAAGCATGACATGAATCACGATAAAACCGTAGATTTAGCAGAAGAGCCAAACAAATCCGTCAGACACAACTGGATTATTATTATTTTTCAGGGTTAGAGAGAATTATTTTCTTTAGTTCTTCTTCTACAAATGGTGACCAGTCATATGAATACTACTATAAGCTACTCCTTTTGAGAACGACGAGTCTATTGAACGACAAACATCACTCATACACCCAACAGAGGATGAAATGTGTCCACAGGTTTTTTTTGTTGTTGTCTTGTTTAACATGACTAGGAATATTCTCACATTTAATCGTCTCCTCAGTATTAAACAATGGAGGTTAAAAGTAGGTCATGTCATATTAAACATGATGTTGACGTGAGGGTTGTGATTGGTTATTTCAAGCAGGCGATTCCCATACACATGCTAGAAAATATCACATTCAAAGAGGTTCAAGCATATCGTATCGCTTAAAACATACATTTCTACGACTGCCATGCGCTCATATTATTCTTATTCATAGCTTTATTTTCATTTCTCGGGGGGCTGCTACCGACATTCAAAACCCCATTGTTGAGTCACGCACATTCATATTGATTTGTCCTCTTTTTGTTGCTCTTTTCACAGCACATTCGTGAATATCTTTCACAATTTCCCAGAAAGAAATTCGAGACTAACCTTCCCCCTAAATTTCCAAAGTGATTTCAGCTGACAGGAGGCATCATTTAAACTTACACCAGCACATTTTGCCTATTAAGATATATTAAATAAAAGGACATGGAAAGAATGTGGTGCTGAATAATTATATAGTTTTACTATCTATTCCCCACTCAGAGACTCAGTGTTATTATAGAAAGTGCCTAAAATATTCAACCAATATCAGGAGTGTTTGATTCCTAAAGTCGACTGCTCTTTTTTTGATGGTATACAGCACTAAAATAAACGGAGCCCAGGTTTGTTTTCTCCCCTTAAACTTGAACATGAAGCACCTGCCATATTGGTTTTGTCGCCTATTCATTGACTTCACTTCATGTCTCCAGTTATGACTAATGTTTTTGCACATTATGCATGCATGCTTTCATTATTTCTTTCGTTTTGTGTTCTTTCCCATGTCATATCTAAACTGGGCCAGGAAAGTAGGACATGAAAGTTGGCACATTATATAATAATTTCATCCGGAAAACCATTGCTAGATTCAAGTCAGAGCACAACTCCTCATAAAGGTGTCCACCTTCTCCATCCCAATGCTATTCTTCTGTCGTTAAACTTCAGGAAATCATCCGAACTCGCCAGGAAAACTGTTTATGGATCTCCAGGTATATGTATCTCAGTAACTTTCTGTTTGGGTCATTCGTACGGGAACAGAAGAACAAATCTGCCTCCCTTATGTAGTTTTTTACTCAGGGTGCTAAAACAGGGAGAGGGTGTTTCACACGGAGACTAGAGTAGGTTAGGTTCAAAGTCTCCGGGTTCAGCTCAGAATCAACAGGAGAAACCACTGGGGGTGTGTATACTTCCATTCGCTTCTTTACAAACCACAGCTTTCGGAGACATGACTGTGACTCGGGTTACAGGATATTATAGGCTAGACCGCGTGTGTTTATAGAGTTTTTACGACCATTATTTCCAAATCTGAGCAGGTATCATCGTTCGTGCAGGTATCATCGCTCATTTAGTAGTATTACCACATCCCCGTGGGATTGGGAATGCATGATAAGTATACCTCAGCGCCAAATACCTTCAGAAAAGGCGGGAGATCCAGTCCTCTTATGAAACAGCTCAGTATGCGTGCATCTTTTACGTCGACCGGATCATGCTTTCCGTATTTTTGTGTCAGAGAAGAGAAATAATATGCACTTTGTACAGCTCACCATCCCAGTTGAATTTCCTCTCCGAGTCCTGGTGTGTTTTGCGCGCGCACGTGCGCGTGCGTATGTGTGTGTGTATAAATGTGCTATATCTCGACGTATGAACACCGATGAGCACGCGTGGAGGTTTTAGCCGAATGAGAGGAAAACACTAGTATTGGTGCAGTTGGAAGTTTGTACGATGTCCTACAAAATCCTCTGTTTGGAACTCCGGAAATGCAGGTTTTAGGCTTAAACTGAACCGCAAAAACCACCCGATTATAAGCTTTTCACTTACAAGTACAGAGCAATAAACACTTTGTTTTTAGCTGAGCTCTTTAGGTTGAAAGAATACGGATATGTCAAACATAAAATATAAAGAAAAATAGAAAAAAACAGACATTGGGACATGCTTAGTTCACTTCCTCTTATGCAATTACAGGTACACAGAGAGAGGTGTTCAGTGGTCTGTGGACATTGATTTCATATTTCCCAGCCCTAATGCACGTTTTCATCATTTTAAAATGAAGATAGTAAAAAAAAAAGATAAAATATGAGCCCATATTTCTTACAGGGCAGTGGGCTTTCAACACTCTGCATGTGAAGCTAGTATTAGACCTCTGTTTTTCCTCCCTCTCTCTCTCGCTCTCCCTCTCTCTCTCTCTCTCTCTCTCTCTCTCTCTCTCTTGCTCTCTCCTTCTCCTTCATTCCTGCTTTGTGCTCCTCGTACTCTCCTCTCCTCCTCTGATGAGTTTTGCCTCATGTTGTTTTCTCGGCCGTCTCCCTCTTTCTGTCCTTCTTGTGAGTTTTTGGTTTGTTTCCTTTGGTTTCTTTTTGTTGCAGTTTTGTAACTGTGCATGTGAGAGCATCACTGAATTGTTGGATATGTTTTAAAAAAAAATAAAATAAATATTCAGCTGCTGAAGCCATGCAAAACATTTTGAATTGCCCTTAAAATATGGAAAATGTTTTCTGAATGCTTTATATAATTTCTGCTGTAAAATAAAACCTTAAAAGAGAAATGTTGCTCACGCTGTCTTTTTTGTGTGATTTTTTTCTTTCTTAAAAAAGCAATATTATCTTTAAAGGCTATTCTTCTGCTTCATATACTTTTAATATTGACTAATACAGTAATTAAAAAATATATATAATTATATTTAAAGTATATGAAGCAGAAGAACAGCCTTTAAAGATAATTTATATAAGAGATATATTTATATAGATATACAGTGCTCAGCATATATGAGTACACCCCGCATAAATCTCTCTTTTAAATTCATATTTTTAATAGGAAGCTAAAATGTTATATTTGTGCATAATCATTAGTTTAGTCAGTACTGAAGCCAAATTTGGAGCTTATCTACACAAAATAACTTACGATAACACTCCAATAAATAGTACATTCAAATTTATAGAAAAATATTAAATACAATTTTTTAAAAAGAGGAAACATCAAAAGGAGCAAAAACTTTTTAGAAATTTAGTTGAAATTTTGTAGGTTGTAATTTATTTTTGCAATATTTTGCTTGAATTTAGTTGTATTATCTTTCAATTTATAAATATGTTTGGTGACTCAAATATATTTAATTATTATCTGTTTAGTGAATATGTTTTGTTTATATTAGTAAAGAGTTATTAAAACTATTATGATTAGAAATTTGTTGAAAAAATCTTCTCACTGTTAAACAGAAATTAGGGGAAAAATAAACGGGGTCTAATAATTTAGAGGGGCTAATAATTCTGACGTACATATATAATGAATTCTGATATATATATATATATATATATATATATATATATATATATATATATATATATATATATATATGTATATATATATATATATATATATATATATATATATATATATATATATATATATATGTGTGTGTGTGTGTGTGTGTGTGTGTGTGTGTGTGTGTGTGTGTGTGTGTGTGTACATATAGGCTAATTTTATTATAATTAAAAAAAAATATTTATATCAAATAGTGTAGATTTCACTACACCTTATCAGCAAAACAATAATTTAATTTATATTTGTATAAAATGATTAGGTATATATAAATATTCGATGGTATGTGTTTGATTAAAGGTTTAATATTTGGTTTATTCTACAAAGGTTTGTGATTAGCATGTTTAAATTTTCAAATAAAATTATTAAAATTTAGACCAATGGTGTCTTAATTTTTTCCATAGCTGTTAAATGTAGTTTAATTATCTGTGTTTGTGTGTGCGTGTGTGTTTGTTTGAGAGAGTAAATTTTGAAATTAAATACACCTTCATTTAATAAAAAATTAAACTACAACATGTTTCATTGATTTAAACAAATTTCCAAATCACACAATATTTTCATCAAAAACCATACATTATTTTCAGCCCAACACAACATTTTTTACACTCCACGTCTTCAAACTTGTCCAACTCTTTCATTGATTTCATTAAAAATTAAAATCATGTCTAATTCTTGCTCTAATAAGCCTTTTAAAAATAAGTTCAACTTTATAAATGGTCTCACACAAAATCTTGTTCCTCCTATACTAATGTATATTGCCATTTTTGCTTGTCCTAATATAAGAAGAGAGAGAAAAGAGAGAGAAAGATGTTATTATCACAATTAGATTATTAGATCATTATTTTGTTTTATTTTGTTATCATCTTTATTATTATTATTATTATTATTATTTTACTACTACTACTACTACTACTATTTACTGTGTTTAGTGTGTTTAGTTTTAAACTATTCAATATGTATGTTCTTTTAATGTAAACTTTAGTGCTTTGACAAAACATTTGTAGGCGGTTCATTCTGCTGTGGCGACCCCTGATTAATGAAGTACAAAGCCGAAAAGAAAATGAATGAATATATTTGTAACATGTGTCATGCCAATAAAGCAGTTTTTGAATTGAACTGAATTGAATTGAGAGAGTTTTACAATGACTGTATATTTTTCTTATAACCTATGAAATTACTAATATGATGGGGAAAACTTTCACTGTGTGTGTGCGTGTGCTATATTCTACGTGCACGCGCGCGCTGACGCTCACTCGCTTACACAGTAATAACAGTTGTATCATCATCAGCGGGCCTTCACAAATCACACATCAACTCAACAAACATGTAAGTAAAATTAAAATTGCACTAGCTCAGCGATGTGATATGAACATGTGATGATATATGTTTTGCTTTTGTTTTTTTTTTAATACCTAAATATTGATGTGCTGGGAAAGTTTGTGTTGTGTTCTAATGGGCGTGAATACGGCCAAAGCAACAGGTTAGCTTTTAGCTTAGCTTTAGCTTCAGTTTGTTGACAATTTGTTTACTTTAATTTACTTTCGGTCTTGTTTTCGGTTGCTTTTATTTGGGATAGTTGATTATGACACCGTAAGTGAAGTTTAATGTCCGTTTGAGTGTTTAAAAGAGATTTGTGTTTATGTTCGCATTAGCGCTAACTTACATGCTAACTGCTTACAGTTTGTTTTGGCTGATAAAAGTTTGTGGAAACTTTAGACATTAAGCATACACAAACTACAGACATATCACCATTATAATAACATATTTGTTTTGTTTTAAGTGTACAATTATTTTAATTTTGAGTGCGTTAAAAGGATGTAGTTTGTATTTGGGAAAGCTGCGGCAAAATAATCAACAAACAAGTTATACAAGCTTCACAAATGATTGTTCTTCAATCAGTTTTGTTAATCCAGTGGTGGGCAAACTTTTTAGACCAGAGGGCCACTTCACGTTTTGCAAACCAAGTAAAGGGCCACATGCCAAATCCTTCAATACATAACTTTTATTTATAGTGGCAGTATGCTTAGAACATGTAATATCGGACAGAAACATGTCAGATTAACACAAAACAGATTTTTAAAATAATTATTATCGAGTCAAATTGACAAGTAAAATGAATTTGCACTGCTATTTATATTTATCAATTGTCATAAAACAATAAAATAATCTCTAATAGAATGTAATACTGATATTGATGTAATAATTTTTCAGCGAAGAATAGAAAAGATATTGTCTGATAGACAAAATCCTATATTAACACATTAAAAATAATTCTTAAAGTTTGCTATTCAGTCAAATTTACAATAATCTAATTTGCACTTCTTTTAGAAAATACAGATCAATCATCTTAAAACTTGATAAAACCACAAATCTTTGACAAAAGAACTTTTTAAAGTGGATGTATGGATGGAAAATATACTCTGTGTAAAAAAATTAACACATTTAACCAGCAACCATTATATATTTTGAGTCAAATTCACAACAATCTCATTTGAGCTTGTATTAATATGCTCATATCAATCATTATAAAACTATGAGATAAAACGGAAGAAGAATCTTAGGCCCCGTTTACACTAGTGCGTTTTAGTTTGAAAACGCATAAGTTTTGCTACGGTTACGCCATCCGTCCACACTACGCCGGAGTTCTCGAGCGCCGAAAACGGAGCTTTTTGAAAATGCTGGAGAGGCCGTTTTCATTCTAAAACGCTGCTGCTCCGTCTCAGTGTGGATGGGGAAAGACGGAGACATCTGAAAACGGAGGCGGGGCTGGAAACGTTCGCCTATCTGATTGGGGCTTTTCCTCAATATTAAGTAGCCCACACACAGTTCAGTCTTGCATCCTCTTCTTGTAAGTTCAGACTTCGCAAGTTTGATCAAGGCTGCAGTCTCCCCCTTCTCAGTTTGATATGGAAAACATACCGAGGACACGCGTAAATCTTCAAAGGGAACAGTGTACTTTATAACTTCATTCACATCACCTTGGCTACGTTGTTTCACTTTCTCAACAATAAAATATAAACATGATTTAAGGAACTGCCTATTTTCTTTTTAATATTAGCAACTTAACAGACAGCAGAAATGATGAGGCGTCGTGCTGCATATATGGGCGTCATTTTCACTGTGTGGATATTTATAACAAAACGGAGCCGATAACAACTGCCTCCTTTCAATTTCAGTGAAAATACGAAACGCACCCTCTCTTTTGCTGAATATCAGTTTTAATAATCGATAATTATAAAAGTATAACATACAATAAGTTTATACATTGTAGGAAATAAAGGCAAGCGATCAGTCAATGTACCTGGATTAATCATTAACTTATCTTTGCGCTTAACCAAAACATGTTACCCGTGAACAAGTAACTTAATAGATTCCAATGACCAAAGTCAGGGAATTGGCCTATGTCGTTAGATAAAGACAACAACATGAATGAAATATCACGTTTAGCAAATATAGTGAGATTAGATCCAGCGGGAGATGCTTGATGAGCAGTCCGACAAGCAGAGCTCTCATCTGGGTAGAAATGCTGGAGCGCTTGCCCGAGTGTGTGTGTGTGGTCTCGTGATGTGCGTTTTCAGCGTTTTGGTGTGGACGGAGAGCAGTTCAGAAACGCTGGGTAAAACGCTAGTGTGGATGCGGATCATTTTCATTCTACAACGCCGTTTTAAAACTAAAACGCACTAGTGTAAACGGGGCCTTAGTCTTTGTTATTCCAAGTCATGTCATTATGAGTGTTAACGTGAACAATGAGCCTGAAAATAACGTTACATTAATATTAACAGCAACACTCTCGCAAAATACCCAGCTGATCCAGTCGTTGACTAGCAACATAAAAAAAGCGCAGTGTGCTCCTTTTTTCTTGTCAACAAAAAGGCAGTGCAGAGCATCCTTGTGTTTTTGGAATGTAAATGCGCGTTCGGTGTGATCGGCCTCTTAGGTTGTAGCCCTTAAAAACAGCAATACTTTTTTGGCATATTAGACCTACCGCTTTCTGTCCCGTATTGGTGAAGAAGTATTTTGTTGTCCATTCTTTCATAAACACACGACATTCAAAGTCAATTTTTTTTCCCTGACTCCTTTTCAGTCATAAAAGGTCGAGTGCATTGTAATATCCGAGAGTGTGTTCTAATTCTAGTTGCACTAACTGTACTGCATGCAATACTGCCATCAAATGGTATTTACTTGTATTGCATCATTAATTTACTAATTCTGAAATTAAACCGTTACTCA